TCGATATGTGATGAATATTGATGTAATGTAGTGAACCAGTGATAATTACATTTACATTTTTAATAAAATATTATAATAATTAATCCAACAAAAAAGATTAAGAAATAAAAAAAAATCCAAATTAAACAAATCGAATTACTAAATTTTGAGAGAAACTTTTAAAAAATATTATTTAAAACAATAGTGTTGTTTCATCAAATGATATGGTTTCCTTGAACAAAATAAAAGTTTTATTTTCATCATTTAAAAAAATTATATTTCGTTTAAGAATATAATATTTTAATGAAATCAAAGAAAACCACAAAATTAAACAAGTACGAATATTAAATCTAAAGAAAGTATTTTCTCCGAAAAAACGGTATAAGAAGTATAAAAAATAAACAATAAGACAAATTAATAATTGCCACTAACGAGTGCTATTCTAAGTAATATTCTATAAGTATTATTGATGTAAAACATTATTGAATTTGAAATATAAGTAACAAAAATAACTAATAAATAAATAAAATATATTATATTCGTAATATTTTTTTAAATATTGTTGCAATATTGCTAAAGTAATATTGCAAATTAATGTCACTGCAAAGTCTTTGCAACATTGCATGCAATATGCAATCTTGCAACGTTTTAGCAATGTTGCTGCAAGCTTCTGTGCTGTATGGGCATTGCTGAGATTTGAGCCTGAGACGTCTCCGAGGTAGCAGACTTACGTCAAAATGACATCCAAATCTAAGTAAGTTTAGGATAAAAAATAACCAAGGAATGATCAAAAATATCGTGAAAGTATCGTCAAAATGATAGTCTAATGTTGCAAACCGATGACGACATTTTAGACGACTTAATGTCGTTTTATGACGTCTCTAAACGTCAATAATACGTTTTCGAGACGTTATACAGAAACGTCATTAAGATGTCACAAAAAAGACGTTTTAAAGACGTCGTTATTTAGTCACTTGAAGTCATTCGACCAGTTATGACCAGTTTTTTACGTCATTTTGACGTGAGTCTGTTACTTGGGCTGATTCTTGTGTCGTTCACCTTACCTACTACATCACTGTCACTTTGATTGAGAGATGCTTTATATTGTGTACATACAGTATATCCATATACGAAAGCATATGATTTATTTAAAAGAAAAGAATAGATTCTTTTAAAATATATGTTTTAAAAAGTATGTAGAAAGTATATTTAAAAAATATTTACATGTTTTAAAAGTAAGTAAAATAAATTAATTTGTAAATTTAAATAAATTGTTTACTGATAATAAAAGCAACTTGAATTTGAAACATAAAAAAATACTTTTAATATTAGAAAATAATTTATTCAGATTTATAAAATGATTTACTTGTATTTTATTTACTTTTAAAACAAGCAAATATTTATTTAAACAGTTTTTACATTTAAAAACATTAATTTTCTCCTTGTAAAGAAATTATTTATTTATTCTTATATATATAGATATTTTAAATCAAAGAAATCACTTTTTTATTTATAAATTCATAATTTTACAGCTTAT